GTTTGTTGAAATTTTTGGCAAACTTCTCTGAAAACTTGGCTTTAATAAAATTTAATCTTCCGATAAAGTATCTTTTATTAGAATATATTCTTCTTTCTTGAAACAACAATTTGGTTTAATAGAAAATGTTGCTTTATATATCGACAGTGTTTTCGGAATTGAATTCGATTTGGCTCATTTCCCCCCTCCACTCTGCTGAGCTGGCATTAAATTGGTGTGGCCAAGAAAATTGTTTGGCTTGGATTAGCTTTCAGTTGCTGACTTTGGCTCTTTTGCGTTTGCTTCTGCTGCTAGTCCTTTTTGGCCCGGCCTGCCCCAGCCTGGCCTCATAAAAAGTTCATTCGCCAAAATGGCCAAATGTTGACTATACTTCTTGCAACCGCCCCCACATTTGACTCGCATGTGGAGCAATGGCTTCTATTCGTACTTTTTGCGGTTGCCCCTCACTTGGCCAATTGTTGTTTATATTTTTGGCTCATTTTTATTGGCCATTTTCCTGGCATTGTTTTGCTACAGTTTTCCCACTGCTTTTCTTGAGAGCTCGAGAGCTGATTGCCTGACTGGCTCCTTGCCGGAAAATTGATTTGCATTTTGTTGTGGGGGAGGGGTGGCATGAAAATTGCAGAGATCTCTCGATAATTGAAAATTGTATTTCGCACTATTGAGGTTCAAAGGTCAGAGGTGCTAGTCCTGTGTGGCTGAAAAGTTTTCGTTTCGATATCCTTTCCATTACAAACTTAATGACAAAACTACGGTGCCAACTTAATGAGGTCACCTCCTGATCCTGATTGTGAAAAAAAATAGTTTTCTGCATCCTATACTGGCAAACAGCTACTGCCACTTTTTATTCAGTTTTGTGCAAATAGGAGAAAGCAGCTGCAGTTTGCAGTTGCCGAGTGGAAAATTTAATTACATGCAAATACCGTTAACTGGGCAGGGACACTGGATTGTGGCCAGGGCAGGACGACTTTGGAGGGCATGAATGGTGGGATGGTGGCTCGCTACTGCGAGTAGCTAACATGCCAAAGGACTCTGGGGGATGCCATGGCCAAAGGACAATCGTCAGACGGTTCCTTGTTATTGTTGCGAGTGAAGTGGTGTTTCTGGCTCAACAAAAAAAGAGAGTGCTTTCTTTTGCAATTGCAGTTGTTGTGGTGGCCATATCCTTCCGCATGCAAACACACACATACATACATATATGCAAATCCTTCTCATAAAGCTCGTTATTATTCCTCTTTTTTTCTTCTGTATTGTTGTATTTTTGTTTTATCTGTGGAACTCTTTGGGATGTTTGTTTTATGCCCGCCTGCAGGTTAAAGCAAATATTTGCATATTAGCCGGATTTTCCACTTGCTCGACCCCTCCCCCGCCAGAACATGGCTAGTGGAGTCTTTAATCCAAACAAACTGAAATTTATTACCCAAGAATGCAATTTATTCAAAATGTATTGTTGCTTAATATATTTTAATTTATCATGACTTATTGATTAACTTATCTCACTAATTTATTAGTTTTCTTTTTTTTTTTAAGTCAGGGAAACTCTCAATGCCATGTAGACTGAATGTTAAAGTTTTTAGCCAAAACAAACTTTTTGCTTTCCACTTTGATTTGGCTGGAAAATCGCAAAGTTTGTTGTTCTGTCCTGTTTCCATGTCTGTTGCTGTTGGTTCCTGTCAAAGTTGTTGCAGTTGCAGTTGCAGTTGTCGTTGCTGTAGCTGTTGCTGTGGGAATTATTTGCATATAGCCATTGTTTACACATAGTTACTGTCGTTGTCAGTTAATGTAAATTTGTTTTTTTCATTATTTGTGGTCCCATGGTTTTTGGCTGAACTAAATTGTGAAATTTGTGTAGTTTTTGGGAGAAGGGAAAGGCGGAAAGTGCACAATAGAAACAATTAAATGTTGTTTTGGTGGATTTATTGATTTGGTTTTTTTTACTGGAGTTTAACATTTTTAGGCTTAAATATTTGATAAATTCGGTTTTTCTTGTTTTGGTTAATATTAAGTATACGCAATGTTACGCAGTCCCTTGAAAATGGGGTTTTCCCCTATAGGGCCCACGGGGATGGCTATATCTTCCCCAATTCTCATCCGATTCTCAAGCGGAGTACCTTAAATGATTTCTAAATCAATTCGTCATCATTCTGCATCAAAATCCTGAGACAAAATATTTTTTAGATTTTTTGTCAATTTTTCGTGATGGGATCCCTTAAAAATGGTGTTTTTTCCCATAGGGCCCACGGGGATGGCTATATCTTCCCCAATTCTCATCCGATTCTCAAGCGGAGTACCTTAAACGATTTCTAGATCGATTCGCCATCATTCTGCATCAAAATCCTGAGACAAAATATTTTTTACATTTTTTGTCCATTTTTCATGATGGGATCCCTTGAAAATGGGGTTTTCCCCTATAGGGCCCACGGGGATGGCTATATCTTCCCCAATTCTCATCCGATTCTCAAGCGGAGTACCTTAAAAGATTTCTATATCGATTCGCCACCATTCTGCATCAAAATCCTGAGACAAAATATTTTTTAGATTTTTTGTCAATTTTTCGTGATGGGATCCCTTGAAAATGGTGTTTTTCCCCATAGGGCCCACGGGGATGGCTATATCTTCCCCAATTCTCATCCGATTCTCAAGCGGAGTACCTTAAACGATTTCTAGATCGATTTGCCATCATTCTCCATCAAAATCCTGGAACGAAATATTTTTTAGATTTTTTGTTCATTTTTCGTGATGGGATCCCTTGAAAATGGTGTTTTTCCCCATAGGGCCCACGAGGATGGCTATATCTTCCCCAATTCTCATCCGATTCTCAAGCGGAGTACCTTGAACGATTTCTAGATCGATTCGCCATCATTCTGCATCAAAATCCTGAGACAAAATATTTTTTAGATTTTTTGTTTATTTTTCTTGATGGGATCCCTTGAAATGGGGTTTTCCCCTATAGGGCCCACGGGGATGGCTATATCTTCTTCTGTCTACGTGCAAAGGAAGGGTGTTTGCAAAGTTCCAAAATGAGAATACCCTCTGCAAGGGTATAAAACTAGAATATTAAGTATACGCAGCATGGTCAGCTTACTGAAAAAGACACTTATAGAGACCCATTTATAACTTTCTTGTATATTTCTAGCTATTTCTAGCTATTCTTGGCTTTTATATTATTTACTTGGCCACTTTTCTGAGGACCAGTCACGTCAGAAATTGCACAAATTACCTGTGACTGCTCCAATTACAGCTGCCCCGCCACCACCCCTCCAAAAAATGCCTCCTGATTGGCTGCCCCCTCTGGGTGCCAGCTGACAATTAATCACTTTGTCATAGACGCGTGCTCCACACGTTTTCCCTTCGATGGCCAGGACATACAGGACACTAGCGAGAGCGAGAGCGAGGAGCCTTCAATCATTAATTTATCATGTGCACTTAGCAGGAAAATTGCGACAAGCCCACCTACCATCCAAGACCCCCACCCACCCAGTATCTGTGTGTGGCAGTATTTGTGGCAGGTGCAGTGTCCTATGTCCAGGACATTGTTTTTGTTTGTGTTTTGTTTGTTTATTTGCTTTATCCTTGCTACGTTTCACATTTTTGTTTTGTCGCTGCATAGCTGCCGATGCCGATGCCGCTTGGGCTGTCGGTGACATATGATGCCACCCCCATAGGCTGGCAAGGGGGGCGTGTCGGCCACAGTTTAATTACCACAGTCCGGTTGGGTGCGGAGGCGTGGCACTAGACAGCCAGCCCCACGCCTGCTGTAGTATAAAACTATAAATTAATTGCGCCAACAATTTGCTGCATAGCCGCAATGGCGCGATATTTACACGCAAAATTAAAAATTAATGCAATCAGCAAACAGGGAAAAAAGCTCAAACAGCCCATAAAGGATGTGTGTTTGCGTTTTTTTTTCTCCACTTTGATTGTTCAGTTGATGAAATTTTAATTGTATTTGAGTGAATGCAATTTATTATAATAAATATATGAAATGTGCCCGCAACAAAAAAACAAAACTTAACTTTGATTTTATTTCTCTTCTCTTTCGTTTCAGGTAAGCTGAAAAATTAATTAATTACGCATTACGCTTAAAAAAGGAAGGAAGAAAGGAAGGATGTAACTAATTTAAAATTAAAGAATTACTTGTCAGAGGTAAACCCTTCTCTTGAAGGGTAAGAACTGGTATTATTCAACCTGTCGTCTCTATTATCTCCCAACGACAAGCGCAACCACAATGTCAGGCTCCTCGGAGTCCTTCTTCTTCTTGCTCCAAAAGGAGCCACAGGACGTTTTCCGGCTGATGTCGAAAAATGCAATTTTTAAATTTCCATTAATTTCGCGCTGTCGACTTTTGTGAAATGTCACTGGGTTTCAGTACTCGAACGACTAAAAAAAAAAACAGAACCAACCAGAAAACACAAAAGAAATGTCTCCGGGTGCAGCAACAATGTTGTCAGCCATGCAAATACGCACAACCACACACACATACACACTGCAGGGACAGGTGAGAGCCAGTCTGGAACACAGGTAACCTGCCGCTGTCTAAGTGACTGATGTGTTGGTGTGTTTTTCACTGAGAGGCCTCGGGCAGGGCAGCAGAAGCATTTGCTTTCCGTTTCATTCTTTTTCTTGGTTTTTTTTTTTTTAATGACACACGTGGACCACGCCCACTTGCAACGCCACCTGCCACCCATTCGCCTGTCGAGAGGCTGGCCTTATCGTCAAGGAGCGTGCTGCTGTGACTATTTTAGCCACCTGAAGGTGGTCCAGGATGGCATTGTTGTCGCTGAACAAGCGCTCTGAACAAGCGACTTTACACCGACAACGTGACATTTAATTCAAAATGTTTTACGCGCCACCTCACACACCATGCTGTGCATGCATATATATAGAATATATCCTTCCTCTTGGGGAGCTTGTTAACAAAATGGAGGAAAGGATAACAGGTTGAGACTCAAAGTGGATATAGGAAAAGCTCTAAATGACAAAGTGATATACTGAGACAGTTCTGTTTATAGTTATATTTAGTCTTAAAGTTGATTTTTCTTTTAAACTTTTAAATTTTTAGTGAAATATCCACAAAGCCAAAGGTTCTACAAGCCAAAGGACCTTAAGTAAAATCCAAAGTATTTCGACTTTAATCCTCGTCGTCCTCGCCCTCGCCGCCTTCGACTTCGCCGCCGCCGCCGCCCTCTTCCTCCTCGACCATCTCCTCCGAGGAACTGACCTCGATAATGGGCTCGATCTCCGAGGCCAGATCCTCCTCGAAGTCGCTGATCTCGCCCAGCTCTTCCAGACACTTGTCGTAGTTCTCGTCGAAGCGTATGTTCTCGTTCAGTGAACGCACTTCCACGTCTTGATCCGGCGGCAGGAGAGCCGGAGCAGTGCCTGGTGGACACTCTGTTATATTTCTGATCTTCAAAGTGTGGATGTGAAATATGGCCGATCGATTGGATTCCAGCAGGATCTGATGGAAGACACTCAGCATGCGATCCATGTTTCCGAACATGCGAACCGAGGCGCTTTTCGGGTCTTCGCCCTCCTCCAGAATCCGACCCACAATGTTGTGGCGATACGGGTCCATCAAGTAGATGAAGCCCTGTTTTTTCCACAGCGAGTACATCTGGTTGTTGATCTGGAAGATGACGTAGTCGTTCTGGTCGAGGGCCTTCTCCAGCATCAGGTGGAAATCGTTGAACTTGTACATGGGGACGCACTTCCACCAGCCCTCGTAGACGTTCGGGGAGAGCAGGATCTCGGCCACAAACTGTCCCAGGCGGATCTGCCGGGGAAACTCGTCCAGATCCATTGGCTTGCTGAGATCCACGCAGGGCTCCCAGCAGTTCTTGCACATATTGACGCCATAGCACAGGACCTTGTCGAACATTTTCATGTCCCAGGTGGCGGGATGGTCGATTTTGGAGGCCAAGGCGGTGGCCACAGCTACGGGCAGGGCACTGCGATTCCTCAGGGCATCGTTGGGGTTCAGGGTGAGATGCAGGTTGGACTTGACGTAGGCGTAGTCCGAGGCAATCACATCGAACTGGCTCATCCGCATTCCATGCTCTCGCTCCCAGCTCTGGCCCTCAGATCCGGGAGTGGCCAACCTCACCACCAAGATCTCTCTAATGGTGAAGGTTTGGGTCTTCTCCAGGTCGCTCTCCTTCTTGATCAGCCAGATGACATTGTCCAGGGACTTGAGGGCCAACAGCACAGGAAGGCCGCCATCAGTGTTCGGCTTCATGGTGTCCAGCTCCCGACCATTCAGATCCAGGACCATCCACACGCCCTTCTCCTTCCAGATCAGCATATACCAGTTGGGGGTAAAGAAGAGTCCGTACTTGTACTTCTTGAAGAAGGCCCTGAGGATCCTCCGGGCGTTCCGTATAACACTCGGATAGCCGTAGACCTCGAAGGCCGACTCCAGCTCCAGGGCAAACTCGATGTCGTTGATCTTGAAGTGACGCGTCACCCGGATCTCGTTTTCGTCATAGACATCCGGGGCATCGGTGAAGTTGGGCATCTCCATGTTCTCGGAATCACCAAAGAGCACTTCCCCCTCTTTTACCACAAAGTCGATCATGTCCTGCTTCCATTCATCCCTCCGGGTGTAATAGGAATGGGCAAAGCCCTTCAGATTGGAGGCATATTGGATAGATTCCTTGTTGGGGACTCCCGCCTTGACTGGTATTGTGCCCGCCACAACCCCAATGGGATATCCCAGGGATCGGTCAATGTCATTGCGACGATTACGCATGCACTCCTTGGGATCGAAGGCCTGGGCGTAGGGCTCGTCATGAGATCCGAAGATCAGACAGTTCTTGAACGAGCAGGGATCATAGGGCTCTGGCCATAGTTTATCCAAGCGAACCATTCTTTTGGGAGGATAACTTGCTTTCGGGGGATATTTCTAGAAATCTCAAGCTATAATACTTACGGTGGCTGGCAGGGTATGCAGGGCGGTACCCCCGGACGAGGACATTGTGGTGGGCAGGGCCCGCAACACCCCGGTGGTGGCCCGCAGGGTGGGCAGTTTGCTCCTCCTTTTTGACGATTATAAGCCATTTCACACCGATTTCGAAAAACCCAAAATTTAACTAAATTCTCGCACAAAAATTTGACAAACCTCCGACCTGAAGCCCGAAGCTAGTAATGAATAATCCAGCAGGATGAAGTCTATAAAATAATGGCTAGGTTGCTCAGTTTTAAAAAATATAGTTTCCAACAAAGTTGCTAAAAGATAAAGTTTAACTATCCTTTCATTACCTTTTCATTTCATCAATTGACACACCTGCTGACAGATTTGATCTACCCTAAGAACTAAGGACTAAAGGACTAGCTCCACCTTTAGATAGACTGGCAAAAACCCTCGACTTTCATTACACAAATGGCGACTGGCACATGGGATGGCAAACTTATGATAATTTTTATTGTGCACACGCCAAGTCAGCACTGGAAATCAGTTGAGGGCCGTTTTGTTTTTGGCTTTTACGATGCCGCCAGTTAATTTCTTATCCTGCCAAAAGATGGAGTAGAGCTGAAGGAGGGAGCTAGAGGCAGGCGAACTAACAGTTAACAGGCAACAGCTAAATGTAATTGGAAAGCTCATCAAGTGCCTCCGTGGCTGTCGTTTCTGGTTGTCGTTGTGGCTTGCCACTTGAGTGGGCCCGGAAAAGTATGCAAAGAATTTTGTGCTGCCATCAAGTTTGGTTTATTTGCCCGTTTTTCGCCAGTTTTTCCATGCGGTTTATTGAAAACGATGTTCGGGGGGGGTCAGAGGGGAGCGAGCCAGCCAACGCAGCGTATACGTAACGTCACCATCATCAGGGAATCAGTCTGCTTAGCTAAGCTGCTTTTTCTCTCTCTCTTTCTCTTTCTATTACTCTGTCTCTTTCGGTGATGGCGTTTACGAGCCAGCCCTTTATTGTCCTTTTGTTTTTGGCTCTTGTTGTTGAACTTTTGTTGTGGTATCCATGTAATTGGCTTAGCAATAGGGCGGAGATACACCCATATAGTATACTTTTGGAGGGCCAAAAGCACGGCCACGGCTATTAACAATTTCGTTGTGTGCAACGTTTTTATTTCGTGTCATCCAATCAGCAAGGATTCCATTTTCCGGGCACATGTGAGATTGATTCCCCGAGCAGCCATCAAAGCGGATTCCAGTAGTCCTTCTTGCCAGAGATTTTTCTTCCTTTTGCCGGACGGACTTCCCTTCCGATATCTTCGTGGAGTGCAATAAATTTAGCTCGAATCGTAAATTTTAAACACTTCATTAAACAAACGAAAAGGAAACGAAATCGCTTAACGATTATCGCCCAGCTCTCACCCACTCTAGTCCATTACTGCCTATTTTGGCACTGAGAGAAATATATTTATATATTATAATAAATATCTCGAAATATAAAATATTTCCATACTCCCAAGAAATATTACCATAACCTCTCTTTTTAGATCTTACTAGCGATGGGCAGATCTCGATACCTCAAAGCTGTTATCGATAGATTGTGCTAGACTCTAAAGGTCTCATCTCTTAAACTATTTAAAAGGTGAACCTTATCACTACAACTAGAACTTAAATATAAGGTTGTCAAATATCTCCCTTCCGCTTTTTTGCTCTTTATTCAATGCTTTATAAAAAGTGTTACAGTGATCCGATTTAGTTGAAATATGCGCCGTTTTGTTCGATAATCCGTTTCCATCTAGACGGCAACTTCATAATACCTCCCTCGTAGAAGCCCCCCTCCTTATTTGCGAAGAACTCGGACAGCCACTTTTCACAAGCCTCTTTTGAGTTCAACTTTACACCACCAAGGGCGTTCGTCATGGACAGGAACAGGTGGTAATCACTTGGCGCTATGTCCGGGCTATATGGTGGATGCGATAAAACCTCCCATCCGAGCTCCTTTAGCTTCTGACGAGTCATCAACGAAGTGTGTGGTCTGGCGTTGTCCTGGTGGAACACTACACCCTTCCTGTTGGCCAATTCTGGACGCTTCTGGTCGATCGCCTGCTTCAAGCGGTCCAATTGTTCGCAGTAGATGGTAGAATTAAGCGTCTGGCCATATGGGAGCAGCTCATAGTGGATGATTCCCTTCCAATCCCACCAAACACACAGCAAAACCTTCCTGGCCGTCAATCCCGGCTTGGCCACTGTTTGGGACGATTCACCGGCCTTCGACCACGACCGTTTTCGTTTGATATTGTCGTATGTGATCCATTTTTCGTCGCCAGTCACCATCCGCTTCAAGAATGGGTCGAGTTCGTTCCGTTTCCGCAGCATATCGCAGGCGTTGATTCGGTCCACAAGGTTTTTTTGCGTCAAATCATGCGGCACCCAAACATCAAGCTTTTTTTGTATCCAGCCTTCTGCAGATGGTTTAAAATGGTTTGGTGACTAACTCCCATCTCCTGGGCGATGTCACGAGAAGCCACATGCCGGTCTAACTCGATGTATTCCATGATTTGATCGGTATTTGTCGTCACAGGTCTTCCGCCGGCTGGCTTATCCATGGTGTCGTTTTCACCGGCTCTGAATCGTCGAAACCATTCCTCCGCGGTTCGAAGTGATAGAGTACCATCCCCCAAAACCCCATTAATCTCACGGAACGTTTCTCTAGCGGATTTGCCTTTAACGAAGGAAAACTTTAAAATAGCGCGAATTTCGGCGTTAGTGAACTCCATGTTTACACGTCTATAACTGGTGAACGCAATATCCAAACTAATCATGCATAGCGTCGTTTTGTAGGTTATGTCAAGACCTTTTAAATTATGTATAGTGTTGCCAGATACGAGCTCTGTAGCGCTTTGTACATAGCCGCGAAATTCAAAAGACAAAAAGGCGGAAGGGAGATATTTGACAACCTTATATTAATATTTTAAGCTTTTAAAATTATTTAATTTTTTTTCTCTTCCTGTAATCTGAAATAAAACATTTTCTTTTTCATTTTCCATTTTTGGTCCTGCACCAAAGCCCCTGGAGACTCAGTCCTGCTGCAGTGCAGCCAAAGTGAAGAGGATAAACTTCAACTTCCCGGGCCAGACCTCTCTCCAGTAACTGTGATGACCACTGCGGATTGGTCCTGGCTCCTGGCCCGAAATGCCAACCTCCACCTAAATGCTATGGCTGTCGTCTGGTTCAGTGCTCAATAATGATTTCCATTGCGAGTTATTTGCATTTCCCCAAACTCATTATGTTTGCATTGTGCAGAATTTCGAGTCGACTCGACCGACGTTTGCCTTGCCACCTGAATCCTGAATCTCTTATGTATTCACCGTCCTCCATCCGCAAAAATATATTTCCTTTGTTGGCCTTGGCGGCATCTGGATGTTTCTGGCTAGCATTTGTTCGATTTTCTGGGAATTCTCCCAATGGCTGTCGCTAATGGAATTTCACTCAAACCGATTGTAACTTTATAAGAAAGGTAATTTTTAGAGGTAGAGGAATATTTCACAAATAATGAAATATATTTCCCAGCTAATTCAATTGCCGCTTTTTTGTGGTCAAAAATTTAATCAACTCCTTTATTAAATAGAATCAGGCAGGACGTGCGAAAAATGGTTTGAAAAATCATATTTCCGTTGAAAAAGCGTCAGCATCCTTTGGGTTTATTTTTAAAAAAGAGACCCCCATGCCATGCCCGGGGACCATTCCATTTCATTTCATTTCGTTTCGTTTATTACATGTCAAGCGTCAATGAATGTCATTTTGACAGTTCATAAGACAAATACGACAATGGCAAGAGTGGCAGGAAACGTTGGGATAGTTTTGTGGGCTTGGGAGGACAGGTGCGTCTGGTGTTCCGCTTCCCGGCTGCGGACATTAATGTGTCAGCGTGCAGCGTCTTGTGGCATATAAGGGACGTGCTCGTGGCATGCCCCCAGCCACCCACTAGGCCACGCCTGCATCTCTATCTCTCGCTCTCTGAATAATATGTGTAAATGTGGATCTCTCCACTGGCAATTCACGGCGAACGTGTAAGTGGCTCTAAGGATATTGGGGGGAGGATGTGGAAGGATGTGCGAGATGTTGCAGCTGTCGTCGAGACATGACAACTTATTGGCATTTGGCTGCCAGGTTCCTTGACAGTTGGCTCTTTACTTGTAAGGCCTTAAACAATTTCTAGCTGCAAATTGAAAATCAGATAAAAAAAAAAGAGAAAAGGAAGGCCTTATACTAGAAGAAATAATGTTATTTTTTTCAGTGCTTGTTCCTGGCATTTCTTGGCCAAAAGAACTCTTCTCTCGCCTCTTGACTTCCTGCCCGGCTCCCTTATTGACATTTCCCCCCACACCACTCCACTCCTAGCCACTCCATCACTCGTTGTCAGCCTAGAACTTTTCATTGCATTGTCATAAATCATTTTGCGGCAAAAACAAGTTGAACGCCACGCCCACACACATCTGACTGCCACATGCCGTGGACATTCCATTGTGCTCTCCCCAAGAGAAATGGAGAATCCTGTGGCCGAGGGCCAAGGCAGAAATGTCAAAGTTGAGCCAGCTCTGTGTGAAGTAGTGGGCATGGCTGGCATTCTCTACCTCTTAGGACACCGCCTCCATCTCCACATCTCCACTTATATTTCTTGGCATATGTCGAATACCTGCCCCGAGTATGGCTCACAGAATTCTGTAGTGCTCAGGATTTTCTTTTTTTTTTTGCCCACATTATTACGTGGTCCTGGACCAGAGCTGGACTTCAGGTCCTCTCCAGGAGTGCCTCTGAATATTGCGTATACGCCGCATTGTTCGCCAAGCATATCTCTCCCTCGCACTTAATATATCTAGTTTATATTTAGTGAGCTTTTTAAAGCAGAACATAAGAGTTGTTTTTTATTATTTTCCTCATTTTTATTATGCTAGTTGCTCTTCAGGGTGTAAAGTTGTCCAACAGCTGTCGTCGAGGAGGTATAAAAATGGGATTTTCTTTGGCACTTTGGTGGAAATTGGGTTTTCAATCGCCTGACACATCCAGCTGTTGTAAAATATTGGTAATTCGATCACGAACTAGAACCCCTTAGCGATTCTCTCTAATCCAGACTTTCTCCAATACTTCTTTAGATATTAAGTTTTTGTCATTGTCGTACTTTTAAGCTGATTATTTTAACCTGTTATCCGCGAATTTGTGGTCTCATTA